TCTATAACTTGATGTTGTTCCTTATGTTTGTGCAGGCTTTGCTACCCTGAGAGTAGGCTCCATAGGTACCCCAGTTGGTTCCATTACTTTATCTGCTGCTTACAGGACGAAGCTGACCTTGCCAGAAAAGTGAGTAAAAGACATCACTACCACCTTAATAGTTGCATGTATTTGGAGGAGTATTTGACTTTCTTTTCTTCACAGAGGAAATGTGAATTTATCACATTTCTTATGAGGATGAGTAGTGATGAATGGACAAGGCTGTACAATTTATAATTAAAATAAATGTAAGTTTGAGTATTCTCATCACCTGTTTGCTGGAGAATGTGTGGATATTTTAGGGAGAAGTTACACGTTAATCACTTCAAAGTCAAAGCGTTAGGCTTGACCATGATGGGCAGCCATGAAATCACATTGTTAATAGGTAGAACATTATGCTTTGCATTACATCAGCAATGGTCCTGAGGTAATAACTGACGTTCTCATTTCGTTGTTTCTCATAGACAACAAGTCATGGTACAAAGTAACCATTTCAGCTCAGAGTTGGCACAGATGCCTTCTGATCAGCATGATGATGCTTTGCCATGTGGAGCATTTGACTTAACAGCTGAAGCGAGGTATCTGCAGGATGTTTGTATTATGTACTTCACGAGTAAGAATTTGGGCCCAGTCATATTTTGTACAATGTCATTAAACACTAGCGAAGCTTATTTAGCTATTAGGTGTTTACACTCTGGTTATTTTAGTTTCGCTTCTTTGCAAGGGTAAATTAAAAAAAAAGAAAAGTTAACTGATTTGCATACTTTTGTAACGGTTGTATTCTTTATTTCGGTCAGCAAGAAATAAAATGTCTGAGTTGGAAACAATCTTTTGTTCTCAGTAGTACAAACGGCAGATGGCAGATGGCTTTTAAGTTTCAACATTTTTGGACGTTTGCCGTTTTGTTAAAACATCTTGCGTGCTTAAGTCCTCTATCGAAATATGAAACTATCGCAAATTATTATTTTCTGTTAGGAGAGGTGTTTCTAAAGGGGGGAAACTTTCCACATAAGATTGATCCTGTGACTGCCTTTTGCCATCTAGCCAGATACAGTGGAAAGTCTTTTTAAATTGCGACTTCGGCGACTCAAGATTTGATCCGGATTGAAAAAAACTCTATATTTTCAAGTGATACTTTCTCCATGAGGGGGTTCGGTTTACTTTTTTGGAAAAAGAGACGCCACCATACTGTAAAGCTGCTCTCCGATCCTCATTTAATTCACGACAAAATATTTTTTTGCCCTAGACATCAAATCGCAGAGGAGATAGCAAGCGCGACAGAAACGGAAGTAACCCGACCAACAACTGCATCTTCAGACACTCCTCCGTCGACAGCTCATAAACTCAGCTCAACAACTCCACCACTTGGGTTAAGGCGCATCAGTCAAGAAGTTAACAGCGCTGGGAGACACGAGATGAGCGGGTGATTGTCTTGATTGTCTCTGGGATACTCGTTCACTCTCTTTGATTTGCCAGTTCTTCTACAAGAAACATTCCTCTCGATTTATATCTCTCTGTCTTTTTTCCCTTCCACAGACCCGGAAGTTATTCCCAACCCACTGGCTGTGCAAAAATGCGAACAAAGGGAGCCTTTGTGAGCAGTTCAGGATCGCCTGAAAATGTAAGCTAGCGTTCAACCTAGAGCCACAAATAGCCAAATTGAAGAGAACCCTTTTTTGAGCCAGTGCTTGTTTACTTGCGCCTCCAAAAGTGATACCCGCATGAACATTCTGTAGGGTCACTTTTAAAACAAGTCACGTTTGATCAGGCCTTTCGCTTTCAACTTCAAAGATCTCACCCGTAATTTTCCCTTCTTGCTGCCATCCATTCCCACGTAAATTACTAGAGATTATTTTGTGTTAAGTTCAATAAGATAGCACCTGTCAGCTGATAAGTTTGTATTTTCTCACCTTATGTTATTTAAACAAAATATTTATATTTAAAGGAGGAATTACACTTTTGTCTCTTCCAAGAGTAAAACGGCGTAATTAGCTCAAAAGCTAAGCTTAAGAGTATTTTTAGTGGAAGGGAAGTTAAGGAGCGCGAAAAACACCCTGCAAAACGCACGTAAATGTTTTGCGTGTCTTAAGGCGAACGTTGGGCCAGTGCGTGGGCCGAGTGAATCAGGTGTGTAAAAACACCCGCACTTTTTGCAGGGTAGGGTTACTACCGTATTTTTTCTAAATTCACTCGTGAGACCAAAACGTGTCGTGCACGAAGCGTTTGTTAAAGTGGCTCACGAATGTTGCCATGGGCTTTTTATTATCTTGTGGGTGAATCATGTTTTCACTTTTTAAATCCTACTGTTGTCTTTAATTCACAGTCAATGCTTACAAACCTGTCATCTACTCCACCGTTTGCGTCGCTTTTAAGAAAAGAGGCTGATAACATACCAAGCGGTCTGCCGGCCTCAGATAGCAACCTGAAAAAGTCACCATCAGTTCTACATAGAAGGGTGAGCAATTTACCTTTCCATAACAAGGGAAAAGAAAATTGCTAAACGGATGATTCTTACTTATATGTTATTAAGGAAAGGTGTTGATTTTTTTGTCAGAAGCGTGGGACAAAGAGGAGATCTGAGTCCTCCACGAGGAATTAGACTCCAGACCTCCTGACGTCTTATAGACGACTCACAGCTGCCAACATAGTAAGCTTAAAGCAAATTTGTATGTCTTTTGTAGGACAGTTCATCTGACAGAACAGATGGCAGCAAACCATCGACGGTGCAGTCTCCACCCTTCCCCAGTCAGCTTGTGTGGGATGATGACTTCGTTATGGTAGAACTGGTGAGTATTTTTAGTGAAGAAATATGCGTAGGTCTTGCGGCGGGTGCATGGTGTGATGAGTCTGAAATAATCTTTGCTGGAAAGGAAGACATTTTGAAGAGCTTGGTGGTCTGTTATCGCACCAGGTCTTTTTTGAGTCGGGTTTCCTCAGTGTTCGTGGAGATTGTTAAAGCTTCGAATTGATCGGCGCACTCGGGCGCATTCGGGCGCATTCGGGCGCATTCGGGCGCATTAGGGAGAGGGCGGAAGACCAAACGTGTATGAAAACCAGTAAACACTGGCTAGTGTTTTGGGGAAATTGTTTTCGCCATCAAGGGCGAAAAAAATCCTCATGAAAAGACAAAAATATCATTATGCCTTGAAATTGACATTTGCTCTCAACTCAAATCTATCATTTTTTTTTTCAGAAACCAGCCTTCGCGTCTCATTCAGCAACATCAACCGGTGATCTTGGTAGCTTCTTTCGTGAGTGTCAGACAGCACCTCCACTGAGTTTATTTGAAGATAATGAGGTGTCATCGCTAGATAACATCATGGTGAGTTTAACCATTTGACTTCAAGGTGTGGCCGATCTGCATCTTCTTAAATGTAAAAGACCTTTGAGGCAGACCAACTGGAGCAATTTTCCATTTCGACCGGTCACTCAGGTTATACTATTTCCGTACTCGAAGACGCTTTCGTGTTCTAACTCTGTTTTCTAACAGGTTCCTGGTTATGTTTACCTTTCTCCGAATTGGTTGTTGTGCTTTGCTTTTTTTTGTTTTCGATGTCTGACACTCGATCGAAAAGTACCCTCAGGCAAACTTTTCGTCGGAGAATATTGCGCGACATAGCATGCGATTCCAGGACTAACCGAAGACCATGCATAGGTGTCGTCGTTGCTAAAGATAATTTGCAGTGATCTTGGTAGTTAAAGTATTAACCAACTCTTAGCGTCAAATGCAATTGTGATTCAACTGGTTTTTCTCTTCTCTCAGCATCATTTCGCATTTGCTTCTCTAGGACCGTTTGGATGGGGAATTGTGTAGCTTTCGCGAGAACGCTTTCAAATTTGACGAACTCTTAGCTGAGCTACAGCAGAGGTGATATCAGCTGGAGATGAGCTTGGGTTTGAAAGTAATTTGCATTAGCACAAAGGAAGAAGAGAATTCAATTCGAGGCTACCGACTGTTTTTGCAAGCATCCCATGTCTCTTTGACGTCCATAGTCACCCGTAGAGCTGTTTCGTCATAAGTCAGTTTGCCTTCCAAATATGGGACAGGCACCGTCATCCACCTGTCTTGTATTGCCAGGGATTAAGTTATGGGATTTAATCTCATATAGAGGTTTTCTTTCAAACGTAATCCTTGCAAAGCTATAGTTCGAATGAAAGTATCGAGTCTCTTGGAAAATAATTTAACATTTACCTCTCGTATTGCTTGAAGGTGATGTCCGCTTGAAAAAAGAATTTACAATTTAGGATCCAGTGTTGGTTTCTAGATTTCCTCGGCATCACCTATAGCGGAAGTGACTAAAAATAACTCTACCCTCTTTTGACTTTCAAGAAATTTGGTGGGTGGGAACAGAAACAGGAAGTTTTTAGTTAAATTTTTTCGATAAACATGACATTATGAACTTGTAGTATTAAGATCTTAAATGGCCGTGCTATAATTTTAAGATTAGAAACTTTGAAAATGAAATTGATAAGATTGCGAATCCTCTGAGATACTGCCGGCGTCACTCAGTTCTCAAACCAAAGCCTTATTGAACGATTTCTGTTCCTCGGGTTTACAATAGAATGCTTAGTACTCTCCTGGTGAGATGATTTTTAGGATATTGTTTTGAACACGTATAGTTCTCGCGATAAGCACTCTCTATATCAAGAACAACTTAGTTGTCAACAGATCTTATTGTAGACACGATGGTGCGGGTGATTTCTTCTTAATTCGATTTGACAATGGCCGGTGGAATCGAAACTTGTGATAATGTAGTTAATTATTATTTGCATGAAAGATGAAATGATGAAATTATACAAAGAAAATCTTAGTTTCTATGTGGAAATCAGGACTGTTCCGTACATGTACCATTCTCACGTCCTTCTGCTAGCAATCGTCCCCGTCTAATTTTTAAGTTCCGAGAAGATTCATCTTGTACCGAAGATAGCGCTCGTGAAAAGCCAAGGAAAATTTGTTGGTTATTTTTGGAACGGAAGCGATTGCCCCTTACAAGTCGTAGATTTCTCGGAATTTACGTTAGTCATCTTAAATCATCTTTTCTCTCCATGTTGATTATGTAACTTTTCATCCTCTATGGAAGAAACTCAACAAAAACAACAAGTTATCTGGTTAATTTGTATGTTTACGATTTTATCCCTATCTCCGAATAACATCACGGTTAAAGGAATAACATTAAATTAACCTTATCGTCAGTTTTAGAATGCGAACAACCTTAATATAATTAAACAAATTTAGAATCTCCCGTGAGAGGGAATATTGCACGTTATAGACTGTCCGTGTTTTGTTCTTGAAATTCACCTTCAAATTAAAGTAGTTTGAGAGATTATTTTGAACAGAAATCGACGAAGAAAGGAAAATGCTGCATGGAAGCAAGAGATTTTAACTTGATTCTGAATTTTTTATCTGTGTCTTCACGGTTTGTCTGTAAAACAAAGCCCTAGTCGGTCTCCATAGCAACCATGACGAAGGTAACCCAGTGAAAAGAGATGGTTAGTTGTCAACCGATTGTCAAGGTTGTGGAGAAGATTTATCAGCAGGTGTTTGCATTTGGGATTCTGAAAACACTTCCCTTTTGTATTGGTGGATACACGCTGGCTTCATCGCTTCTCAGAGACCACTTATATTTGTTTCCCTGGCTTAACGCTGTCGTCCTTGGCATTAATTTAAAATTTGTACCCTGTAGTTGGTTTCTGGCTTTGAAACAATGGGTCGATTCGCTGGTAAATTCTCCTAACGACGCAGAAGCCAAGACAAATATTCGAATTTTCGCAATACCAAAATTAGAAGGAGCCTTTCGTACATAAATTTATCAGCGTATCACGGACATGGACAGCAATCGGAACAGACCGGGAGAAATCGCAGCCTTCAACAGTCTTGAATATTCAGCGTCGAATTTTTTCAGCAACTAGGAGTGACTTTAAAAAAAGATAGTCTAACCGATTCGCGCCAGTAAATTTTTTATAGGCAGTTTTAATAACGGGGCTGAACTAGTGATCGATAAATCAAACGGCGCTGGCGACAGTTTTCCGCAATCGGGACAGTCTTAATTCTCCATGAGGAAAGCTGGAAAATGGAGCCCGCAGCCAGCAATGAGACGGCCAAACAAGAGCACGGCGGGGATGGCGCTGATCCAGAAGAACCCATCGAAGAACACGAATTTCAGAGGTGTTCTCGGAAAGGCCGAAGGGATGCCTGCCCGGACATTCACTGCAAGTGCGGCGATTCCAAACAAAGTGGTGAGTGTATGTTTCACAAAGAAGCTACACAAGCTGACTCAAAAAAAGAGAGCGGCGAGGAAAAGGCGTGAAATTTCAGTGAGAACATTGCATTTGCCCGAACGCATTTAGTACTATACCAGCGATATTTATTTTTGGCTCGTCTGGCACCGACCTGGTGTTTGAATGCGGAATAAATTTTTAGGGAGACCTGGTGGCATCTTCTCTAAAATTTGTCGTCACCAAACCTACAGAACGAAAAAACCCGGAAACAGCCATGGCGACGTTTGGGAGTCGCGTTAAAACTCACCGAAAGAAGGACGAAGTAAAAGGATATGCGCTATGCGTCGCCATTTTTAGAAAAAACTGGAGGTTTCTTGCTTTTGTTTGAATCGTATTTCAGGAGCAGGTGATGATTGTCTAAAGAAGTACGAAATATCTATATTCGTTGTCGAATTTAACGCTTCAAGCGAACTGATGTACAGAAATATTTTTCATCGTGTTTTATTAAGCTTGATTAGCGCGGAGCAATCGTTTCTGGCACGGTATGTAGAAAAAATAAATTTTTAACTTGACTTGATTGTACAGCGCTATTTCAAACACGAAATTTTTAAACCGTATGCGACTTTTAAAATCTCAGTTCTTAAAATACTTTACTCCATTAGACCTCTTTTCAACATGGATATTGCATACCTGTTGTAAATGTTATCTCGAATAAAGTACCTTTATCTAGGACTTATAATGGTTGGCGAGTGTGAGGTTTTTTCAAGCGCAAAAAACAAGTCTGCTTTTTTTTTCTTGCTCGAACATTAAGTATATTTTAAGTTCAGTGGGAAAAATGAATTATTGATATTACCGATCAATTGATGGCGCTTAGAATGTTTTAAACGATGAATTCTAAAATCTTAGAAAGTGACGTGTTAAAAATAGAATTTCGTTTGTGAGTATGGATGAAGGTAAATATCGTTGGCCTTTATCAAATTGTTAGAAATATTTCGTCATCAAGAAGGAATAACTTAATTTGTCAAATTCACGTTACGACTTGCAAGAATTCGAAGTTTTGCTGTCGTATTTTTAAATTTTCCATTGCAATTTCCATTCATCTGCATTCGTGCTTCAGGCTGTTATGTCATATCTGTCGCCTATGAACCCTTGTGCTATTTTTAGCCGTGCGGAGACCGAGTTTGCCCTTTTTGTTCAGTAAATGAGATGTAAAATTGCTGGCAGCTGTTTCCAATTACCAATGTAGCCCCAGGCTTTTCTCGTGGTTATTGTCACAGTTTGAATCAGATTATGAACTGTGCAGGAAGATTTTCATGCGGTTTTGCTGCTAAGCGTATTGAAAGTTCTCATTAGAAGGGAACATTCGGTTTGTTAGATTGTATGTAATCATCTGAGTAATTATATATATTTAAAGTTTTATGTTATCAGATATCTTTCTGATCACTGTGACTCTGGAGATATATTAGGTATTGATTATCTGGATTCATAATACACACACACACTGGCATACTCAAAATCAGTTTGAGCTCCCTGTTTTATTATGAGACGGCATCAAATCGTTTGACGTTCTCTTGAGTCAACTTACTACAACAACGCGTCGTTTTTACGGCAGGGTGTACTGAGATTCATAAGCAATAAACATTGCAACATTTTGATTAAAGGACAAGACATCCCTTAATGAAAAATAAATAAATGTGAACGAAATTCATCTGCTTTTCACCCAGAGAAAAAAGCAGAAAAATTTTCGATTTTTCTTTGAGGAACGCTCAGCACACACATGATGAATTATATTTATTATCCATATTTTAGATTTTGCGAAATATTGGTGAAACACGTCTTTATGTTAATGGAATAAAAGCAAGTTCATTTATTTCTTTGCATCTCCATTTTCTGCATTGCATTTCTACCTTAATTCTTTGTCTCTCCCTAATTTTTTTTCAGTCTCAAACCTTTCATCTCTTATCGATACGTGAAATTTGATTAACTATCATCTGGAAGTCCTTAAACTTCGTTAACCTAGTTGAAGTTTCATCTAAAAGAGTGCAAACGATTGGTAGACTGGAATTGCAAGCAGTTAAGTGAATCATTAACCATCGACTCCAGTTGAAGGCACGCTTGAGTCCCTTGTGCTATTAATGCTTGCAGCCAACAACCAGTCCATCCATTTCGCGATCGTGGGACCAAGTAATACCCGTAGAAATAATTTTGACTAAATAAATTAACGTATTTCTAAACTGTCTCTACAACGGCAGGCTATTTTAAAACTCCATTAAGCAAAATGTCGGTACGCCACACTATTAAAAAGAAACGAAAGAAATAAAAGTTGTATTTGGCTCAGAAGAGGAAAATGATCACAAAGTAGCAAAGTAAACACAAGCTAAATAATTACTTTAGAAAGACGGCAAAGTTTTAGCTACCATGATGTTTGTATGAAGGTCACTCAATAGGCCTTAACGGAAAACCCAATTTCACCCCCAAGCTTCGCTGTCAAGGTGTAGACTGTTAAATTATGAAAAGAAAGTATTTCCAGAACGCCGAAATCAAAACAATAACCAGATAAGAAGAACAAAAAGTGGCAACAATGAATAAAAACTTTAGTGCAAACGAGGCCTGGGGACGAGTTTTCAGTTGACGTCATCTTGCTTTAAGAGCAATTTGGAAACATTTAGTTGCACCCTAATATCTGTTTTTGCATTTTCTTTATACTGCTCTCCGTATGTTTGTTTTTTTCCCTATGGTACTAACATGTAGAATGAATTAATCAATCAAGAGATGCTTTATCAGTTCAGCGATGCTGTATGTGATGTGAGGAGGAATTTCGATCCTAGTCACTCTAAGAGGATCTGGATGGGATTACCTGGTAACTGACAAATGGCCAGAATTTTAACTGACCACTGACAAATCGCTGAAAATCTAACTGACAACTGACATTTGTGGTGGGCTTTTACTGATGGGTGACAAAATACCGGATCGCCCTAAATACCCTAAAAACTGGATGTGAAATAGGGACAGTTGATTTATTTTGTTCAGTAAAAGTACGATTTTTAATGCATATCAGTAAGAGCGCGCCAAAGTGTAAAAACCAACCTGCAAAACCAAGCAATGCGAATAATATTGCATGCTGACCGTAAGACATGTACTCAAGAGATGCGCGCTAAATTGCAATTAGTATCGCTGCACAGTAGACGCCTTAGCCACAGTATGTTTACAAGATTATTAACAACATTAACTGCCCTAAGCAGTTGACAGGTTACTTAATTATTAAAAAACAAACAAAGACATTGTCGATCCTTCAGTGATCCAACTTATTAGATCTACCACACGTTTAAGACTAAATGTGGACAGACCTCGTTTAAGTTCTCGGCTGCGAGTGCCTGGAACAAACTGCCAAGAGATGTACGTGAGCTCACAACACTTGCACAGTTTTAGGGCGAAACATTTACTTACCTGATGAACATGGACAGCTCCAATCACGTTTAAACAAGTTAAACGTAGACTTTATTTAATAATTCTTAAATAGGTTTTGTTATTCAACTGCATGCTTTATGTTTTTTATCGACTTTTATGTATTTTTTACTGGTCACCGATTGATACCAGTCAATCACTATTGATTGACTGACTGGTCTTTAATCAGGATAAATAAAGTTGTTATTATTATTATTATTATTATTATTATTATTATTATTATTATTATCATTATTGTCACATTTCGTTAATAATTACCGCATGGACCATCCACATCAAGGTCATATGTCACATATCGGTTACATGGTCTTTGATACCCAACTCGGTCGTCAAATTACGCGATGGCCGTCAATGCTGGTATTTTAAAAGCTGTTGTAAGCTTTTATCGAATTGATACGGAAACGGCATTTGAGCGTCAGAGAAGCTGCATTCCTATCAATAATGTAAACACCGCACTGGCGCTGAAAAATCACCCTATTTTGTTCCTTGGTCTGAAGGAGTTGTCCAGTAAATATGGCCTTGGAGATTTTGATGTGAAACAATTTTACCTTAACTTCGGACGAGCGATGGAATCTGGAGCTTCCGACCATACTGGTTGGAACAGGAAGCGAATTAAACAGTATGTATTGGAATGGTTTGGTATTTGGTATTGATATAAATAAATCAGTTAAAAGCCTACTCTGTAGCATTAAACGCCTATAGATACCGAGTTTGCAAATGTCAACTTTATGCGACCGCTACCTTCAGAGGAGATCAACCCCGAAACTGAAAGCGCTATGAAAGAATTTGTGGGGAAGTATCGTCCATTGAGGCAAAGGACAGTTCGGGAGGGAACCACCAAGGGCAAGGCAGGGGCTCCACCACTGGCCGTCTACACGAAGCAAAAAGATTCCACCAAAGTAAACTTGTTGACGGGACTACGGAACAATTTTAACTCTGGAGATCAGCCAGTAGTATAATATATTGTGCTAGAGGACTCTTCACAAGTTTGTTGTCTTTCTGACAATCTTCTTTCCAACATTCAGAAGTGGTTGAAAAGGATTGTTTCAATGTTGCGCACGGGCAAACAGAAGTTTGGGTGCAGAAGAGTTGTAATGCCCTTCCAACAAAGACTGAAAGTCACTCGGAAGATCTTGCAATTATTTCATTCCAGAATTGATAAAAAGAAGTTCCTATTGTATCAATTTTCGACTTAATTTTCGAGTTTAAGCTCTATGCCCCTTTTAATAAAAAAATAGGGTCGGAAAGTAATAATTAACTCTCCAATTTAATTATTAACAGTTATTTAACTGACAAGGGGCAAATGGCCTAAAATCTGAAACTGATAAATGGCCGAAATTTTAAGTGACAACTGACATTTGTAAACCCCCCCCCCCCCCCCCCCCCCCCCCCCCCCCCCCCCCCCCCGCCATCCAGACCCTCCTCTAATGGATGAAGAGTTAACAAAAGTGTATTTATGACCATTGGTTTCACAGTAACTTGGCCGAAAGAGAACCGGGGAATTGAGTTAGGGAGGGGTATAAAGAGAATTTTTATTAGCGGAGCCGAGATTACCGATACCATAACCGGACTAGTCCAAAACTTTTCCTATACTTTTGTGAGTCATTTTTCAGTGAGGCATAATGAAAACTTATAGCGCCAGTGGTAGGGATGAGGAATAATGTAGCGAGCGAGGAGATTATAAACCGTTTATAATCTCTTTGGCGAGGCGAAGCGCAGTTAAAAAAAATTTATAATGATGATGATACCATCAAAGTGGACGGAGGTGGCTAGTGGTCGATATTTACCCAGCCACGAATCGGCCAGGTAAATGTCCACCTCTAGCCGTCGACGCTAATTATATAAATCCTAGGGGGGGGGG